TTTTTGTTTGTTTTGTTTTGTTGTTGTTTTGAGAATTTTTATAAGAGTTTATTTGAACCAAACTGATGATCATTGCTGGGAAGCGAGATCTCAAATGGTTTTCAAGAGAGCTTTCGTTTTTAAAAATGATGATGTGGGTCTATGACAGGAGCGAACAGCTTGATGACCTTTGGACTTCACTTGACCTTATCTCCTCATTCAACCCTCCAACTGTTGGGATCTGCCAGTTGGCTGTGCTCCTCTGGGTCTTTGACTGGAAACCTTTCATACGTAGTTAGCAGTGTCAGCCCTGAAACGGGGACTTCTCGTTCGGGTCGTATGTCCAAGTATCTGTTTAAGTTGCATTCAGCCATAAATCCCATGCAGTTCCTTATTGCCTGTTTCAAATCAAATTAACACCACCACCACCCCAAAATTTTTTGTTGAGTACCTACTGTATGCAAAACACTTTACTAAGCTCTGAATACATCAAGAGTGTAGCTAATGTAACAGACTGAGGTCCTTATGTGCAGGGCCGTGAAAGGACCATCAAGAGATCACTGTGGCAATCACAATTCATGATTGTCCTTTCACTCATTTAGTCTTTGAGTTCTTTCCACCAGTATTTGTTGGAGGCCTGTTGAGAACAGGATGGATGACCACACACTTGGTATGCAGTAGGCACTTTGTAAAGACTTAGTCGATTGAGTTCTAGGAGTCCTGATGGCTAGGAAAGGAAAGTATAGCCATGGCACGTCAAAAAAACAGGTACTGTCTTTCTCTGGGGTCTTTTTAGTTAAAAGGAAGTAAAAGCTGAACCCCTTGGTGCCCACGGTAAGCCCACCTCTCCCCTTGGGTAAGTAAGTGATGGTCTGGAAAAGCAGGCATCTTCCAGGCTTTAATTTTTCCATCGGAACATGGGAGGAGGGCGTGATTTATTCTACAGTGATTTCTTGAGTGCCTTCTGTGTGCCAAGCATTGTGCTGATACCCGAGATAACAAAGCCCACCTCATCAGCCTCATCAGAAGCGGCAAAAACTGAATGAGGCAAAGCATTTTGAAAAATCTGTACCACTGCCTGCTGCTGAGAAGGGCACCCGCAGTACTTGCCGCCTCCCTGCACATCCCACCTGGAGGCCTCCCTAAGAGGAGCTGTTGTCCTTGACCACCCCCTCCCTGCATGCACAGGTCCTCTTTCGTTCTGTTCCTGGCCAGCCGGGCATTACTGGAGCTGGAATCAGTGGCTTCCTGACTTCTCCACATGCAGCCTGATTCTGGGCCAGGGTTTGTTTGAGGCCCTGTTTGGATATTGTTAAAGTGGCAGCTTTGCTTAGAAAGGTCAGCTTGAGAGGCAGAACAAAGAGATCTTTCAAGGTGGCCTCTCACAAGGCTGGGAAAAGCCCCAGCTCTACCTGGCACGGGCAGCTTTAGACCTGGGGCAGGACTGCTCAGGCTGGTGGGAGAAACCCTGTCTGGCTTCCTGTTTCCCAGAGGGGTGAGCTGAGGCAGAGGGGCGTTTCCAGCACTTCAGAGCAGGTCAGCGCCATCTGGAAACCCATCTCGCCCTGTGCAGTTCTGCCCACTGGAACGTCTGCATTGGTTTTTCTCTATGTGCATTCAATAAAATTTGGAATTTGCCCAAAGGATGCCTGAGGGTAACTATTTCCTTTGCTAACGTATTCCTGGAACTTATTTCAATATCAAAATCCCTTATAGATTTAAACTTTTTGGACATAGGATCTTGTTAAAATGCAGCTCTGATTCCTTAATTGTATGTGTGTGTCTTGGGGAGAAGCAGGGTCTCTGAGAGTCTGCATTTCTCCCAAGCCCCAAGGGGGTACCAGTGCTGCTGCTGTGGGAGCACTCTTCAAGTATTGATGACATAGAGACTAAAGACGGAGACAGAGGACAGGCCTTGCACTGGAGTGAGAAGGGGCCACAGTCCCTCTTGGCTCTGGCCTCCTGGTAGCAGCCTGGGCCAGGCTGCCAGGGAGGAGGCTGGCAGGTAGCCAACAGAGTGGAAAATTACCCACAGTCACTAGCCTCCTCCAGGCCATAGGGCCCTGGGGCTGCCCCAGGGTCCAGCCCCGCCTTACCCGGTGGTCATATGATCCAGCTGCCAAGGCCGAGCTCTTGGGCAGACTGAGTTCCCAGAACCAACCATTTTCCTTTCTTCTGAGAGCACCTGCAGTCTGTCTTGTTTTCTCTCTCCTGGTGGTAGCCTGCTGACGAGCTCTGGGTTCTTTTCCAAGGCAGAGGCCTCAGTGGCACCGAGGAGCCTCTGCTGCAGACTTTTCCTCCTTGGACATGCGGGGGCTCCCAGCCTGTCCCTAGGTATGGTTTGTCTACCAGGGAACCCTATTTTGTCCTATGTAGGGGCAAGGGATGATGGAAAGAAAAACACGGGCGCAAAGCAGGAGGATCTCCTCAGGCATTTCTGTTCCCTCCTCCCCAGTCATTAGCTCCTGACCCTCCATGCAAAATAATGTGGCAAATTAAGGCATAAGTAATATGGTCTTTAACACCCAAATTGGAAGGGAAAACTAATATTTAGTGAACCCCTACCGCATGCCTGGGTGTGTGTGGGCCTTTTCCTGCGATTCATCTTCCTGACAGCACTATGAGCAAATGAGGGCTCTTCCTTCAATAGATGGGAAGACGAGGACTCAGAGAGGCTGTCTGGCTTCCCAAGATTACAGATTTAGGGTCTGCCTGCAAAGCTGGGGTGTCCATGTCTGGTTGTCCCTTCTGGAACCTGGCTTCATAGCATAGGAGAACTGGAGACACTAAGAATCATCTAAAACAATGGTTTTCAAACTTGAGTGTCCATCGGAACCCTCTGGAGACTTAAACCCCAGATTGCTGGGCTCCACCCTAGGGTTTGATTCAGCAGGTCTGGAGTGGGGGCCTCAGAATTTGCTTTTCTAATAAGTTCCTGGGGTGCTGATGCTGCTGGTCCAGGGACCACGTCTTGAGAACCTGCGGTCTAAACTTGTTTTTCAAAATGTGGGATGAGCAGCTCTAGTGAGTCGCAAGGTGGTTTTAAGTGATACACAGACACACTTTTAAAAAATCCTTCTGTGTTTAATATCTGTTCGCAAAAAAATATATATCTAGCACACCAAATCCATGACTTGGGGTATTTTTTATTAAGGCGAGCTAGCCACTGAAGAAAAAAGAAGACTCGTATAAAGAAAGGTGATGCTGGTGGTATGTAGCTAATGGCAAAACTTGTAAATGTGGTATTCAGATGACACAAGCCTGGGAGATACTCATCCAAACTGAAGGCCTGATGTTATAGAGGGGGAGACCAGGGGCAGCCCCCAGAGGTGAGCCCGCCTCCTGGGGCCACTTGGCCATCAGCAGCAATGCCCAGACTCGAACCACCTCTAAGGGCACTGTGGTGCCCTGTCCTGCTTGCCCTCCCAGTTCTTCCGAAGCTCTTGGCAGGCTAGGGAAGATTTTTGTGACTGACTCTATCCCAGAGGCCTTTGTCTCCATTCCTAGCCCTACAGATGAGGGTCTATGTTTATAATGTTGGCAGTTTGCACATTGGGGCTTGCTTGTTTGAAATGAGAGGTCCCAGAAGGCAGAGGTTTGATCTACAAACCTGCCCTTTTATGGCTTCAGGCCCCCAAAGCCCCCAGGAATCTGTTTCATGCATGAACGTTGCAGGAGGGGTTCGTGTGACTTTCCTGGCTGCCACTTTTGGCTTTTCACCCTCTGGTCTTTCATTTCTTCATTCACTCGCCCATCAGCCTCTGCGTTCCCTGTGTGCTGTGATCCAGGGAACCCCTAGAACCAATGAGAAGAGCAGTCCTCGGACACAGGCTGAGCACATGCTGTGTGCAGAGGCCGTGCTAGGGCTGAGCTTTTGGAGCGAGACGGGAGCCCTCAGAGCAAGAGGGGTCAGCCTGTGAACAGAAAACGACCAAAAACTAGCATGCTGGCTTCAGAAGAGGAATTAAAGGGTGCAAGAATAGCACAGCATGGGGAGGCATTTGGGAAGGGTGCAAGGAGGAAGTGATGTTGGAAAGGGTTTTTATAGGATAAATAAGGGAAAGGCTATTTTTAAGGCAGTGGGAGGAGCCTGTGCCAAGCCTTGACATCTGGAACCATAAGTCAGTCAGAAAGGACTTGGTGGTGGGAGACAAGATAAGAGAGAGGCAAAAGGCAGACCCCACAGCCCTGGGATGCCAAAGGCCTCAACTGGGTTCTGTAAGTGCTGAAGGCCTCAACAAAGGGGCCAACCTGAGGAGGAACAAGGCGACTTAGAGATGGCAGGTAGACCCCTCGAGGGGTGTTGGGAGCAGTTGTTCAAACCGCAGGCCACAACCCATTAGTGGGTTGCAAGATCTATTTAATGGGCTGCAGACAGCATTTTTGAAAATGGGAGTAGGTGGAGACATACAATAGAAAACAGAGTGGATTGCCTGTAGCTGAGATAGGTAAAGTATTAAGAAACTTGCTTCAGTTTTTTTGTAAGGAAAGTGTGTGTCTATACTGAGTTGCAATGTCAAATGTGTTTTTTACTATGGGTCACACTTTCAAAAGCTTCTAAGGCTCAGAGGTCTGGCTGGAGGAAGTGAGACTGGCCAGCGTGGTTATCTAGGCCCGAGGTGATGCAGGCCAGTCTAGGGTCCTGGTAGAAGGGACTGAGAGATGAGGATGGATTCTAGTGTTGACCAGATGTGGAGAGTGAAGATGGAGGATTTGAGACTGACTCAGTTCAGAAAGTTTGACACCAGCCCAAGGCTCTTGGACCAAGGTAACATCTGGTCTGAAACACTGGCTCTTGGGCCCCTTCTGGTGGCAAACTGGAAGCCTAAGTTTCAGGGGGTTTTTCGATGAGTGATATCCTGGCCCTCTAGGGTCCTGGTGTTACAACTCTGACCTTCCATTCCAAGTATTGAATGTTTTCAGATAAAACTCAGGCACGCTCTGAGTGTCTGCAGGTTTGATGAGGATGTCTTTGTGGGAACTAAGTTGCTAATGACCCTGCTTGTGTTGTCTCCCAATAGGAACATCGTGAAAGGCATGAGAGAGCTCCGGGAGGTCCTACGGACTGTGGAGACCAAAGCAACTCAGAACTTCAAAGTGGTAAGACAGAGAGGCCCAGGGCTGAGTGCTGAGTGCTGGGTGTTGGCTGTAGCGGGTTTATTCAGGGGTCAATCTCAGTGGCAGACAGCAGTCCTAGGGCAACCCCTGAATCAGGGATGGCAATACGTCATGTGCGTACTTCTATTCTCCCCATCTGTGTTTATGGCAGACATTGCTGATCTCTGCATTCTCTCCCGCTAGGCCTAGGAAGCACCCTCAGCATCCTTTTCATAGCACAGCAGGTGGCCCCTGGCCTTAGATCAGAGTTGAAACCTACTGCCACCCTTTCCTAGCAAGGTGGTGTGTTAATTCTTAAGAATTTGTTTATGGTCTTAGTTCACAACTTAGACTCTGCTTTGCTGCCCCAGTTTAGGCCTGCCTTCTTAAGGGCTTCCATTCACCCAAAATGAGAGCCAGAACTGCTTCTCACTTTTGAATTTTTGGTCAAATATCAGAAAGGTATCTGGTAGATAGCTGCCTTTGCCCGTGGCTTTATGCTCTGCCAGGGCCTGTCCAAACTCAGAACTCTGCTGTGCTCCATGGGGGCAACAGAAGGAGGACATACACCTCTTATCTGGGGGAGGAGAGAGGATAGAAAATTAAGCCTCAACGGCCAACAGAAGGGGTGGGGTAGCCGCAGTGCTGGTGGGGGGGCTCCGTGGGAGTGGAGGGGTGGGCCTCCTAAAGAGACAGCGCTTTGCGAGGCGGGCAGGTTTGGCGGAGAGGTGGGTGGAGGGCATCCTGGCCATGTGGGGAGAGCCGACATGCACCTGGGTCTGAGTGCCTCCCTCTCTGCCAGATGGCGGCCAAGCACCTGGCAGGCGTCCTGCTGCACTCCCTGAGTGAGGAGTGCTACTGGAGCCCCCTGTCCCACCCTCTGCCCGAGTTCATGAGCAAGGAGGAGAATTCCTTCATCATGCAAGCCCCGCGGAAACCTCACCTCTACGAAGGAGATAAGTAAGCTCTGCTTGCCCTGCTGGACCGTGCCAGTCTCACCCCACACTCGGGGTTCGGCTCCCGCCGGCGGCCCCTCTCTGTGCCCCATGTTGCCACCCAGCTCACTGCCAGGCAGGCTCTTCAGCCAAATAGACGAAAGAAGGCAGGTCTCAGGTAGGGGTTGGCAGGAGATTTCTATAAGGCATCCAAGGGCCACACAAATTATTAGGGGGCACCTGCCTTCCTAATAGTCTTACTTAACACCGTCTCTCTTGGTTGAGCCAGTACTTGAAGGCGGGGGTCTGTGAGCGCCGGGCAGAGCTTCTCTCTATGCCCTGCCCCTTGCCGCTCCTGCTTCGTGCAGTGCTGGGTGCTAGAAGGGCCATCTCTTCCCCAGGAGCATCTGCAGTAGTTCCGGCCTGGCCGCCCACCACTGCCTTTGAGATCCATGACTCTGGGGCGCGATAAAGAACTGCAGGTGGTATCCGGTGCATGTGAATTATGCAGGAGAGGGTCACGTTACCAGGGCTGGTGCTGATTCTGGGGCAGAAGGGCCAGTGTGGCCGGCGTGGCCGGCCAGCTGTGCTGGGTGAGGGCTGTGCTGGAGCCACGCTGCCCTTTGTGTCTTTCAGCCTCTACTGCCCGAAGGATAACATTGAGGAAGCCCTCCTGCTGCTCCTCATCAGCGAGTCCATGGTAAGCTCCAGGGCCTTCCTCTCCCTTTGCCGGGTAGGGCTTCAGGGCTCAGGCACAGGCCACCAGGTCCCAGCCGAGCTCCCCCACCACGGATATCCACGCAAGGGTGAGGCTCGCGCACCAGGTTTGGGTCAGGTGCGCCAGGCTGTATTTGGGGACCTGGGTTCTGCCTCCAAATGAGTAGGGACTGAACTAACAAGTCCCCACCCCCCTCCTGTGAGATTACAAGATTTGGTTATCAGCAAGTCAACGGTACGCACTGAGCAGCTCTGTGCTGGGTCTGTGACCCATGTAAGGGAGTGGAAGGAGCGTGCACTTTCGAGGCAGAAGGCCTGGGTTGAGGTTCCAGCTCTGCCACTTGTTAGCTGAGGGCCCGGGGCAAACCACCTAATCCCTTGGAGCTCCAGTTTCCTTACCTATAAGGTGATAGTACCTCCCAGAGGTAAGTGTGTCCGTAGAAAGAACTCACTCATTCGCGAAACTATGGAGTGTCATCTATTTTGTGCCAGGCCCTGTGCTAAATGCCAGAGTTGCAGCAGCAAACAAAAAGGAAAAGTCAGTCCCTCCTGGAGCTTACGTCCTGGAGTGGGGGGGTGGGCAATAAATTAATTGACTACTAAAATAGCCCGAGTACCCGTGTCTGTGTGCCATGGAAAAACAAAGCAATGGGGGAACAAGGTGTGTTGGATAAAGCACATGTGAATTGCTGTTTAGACTTTTTTTCATAATGCTCATTCCGCCTGCCCCAGGCAGGGAGAGAACGCAAGAGCATGCGCGCGCACATGTGTGTGCTTTGGAGGCTCCGCAAGGAGAGAGGTGTGGTTGGGTCGTCCAGGAGATGGTGAGATGAAGGATACCCTCGGCTGGTTACCAGGGGAGGTGGAGGAGGGGTGGGTGGACCGACAGGAGCGGCAGAAGCCAGGTGTGGAGGTGCCGTCTACACGGCGTACGTGGTGTGGGGAGTCCAGAGTTTATGAACTGGGACTCTTAGGTTGAGATTAGGTTTTTAAAAATGATGCATCTGAGAGCACTGTGTGGAAATGGACTTTAAGAAACCATGGCCCCACAAGCTGGATCCCAGAACAGCCAGAAACAAATATTCCTTTGGACACCTGGGACCATATGATGCCAGGGCTTATTTAGAGAACTTTGGTCAGTGGGCTACCTCCAGCTCAACAGGTCCTCCCACAAATAGAAGAAGGGATGCTGGACTGGAGGGGGCAGGGGGCTGAGGGGAACAAGAGATTGTATCCTTCCTCGGCCAGGCCTGATCCATTTGGATCTGAGAGTTCCCATGAAGGGGCGTGGATATTTGGATCCGAGTGCAAACTGTCTGGGTCGTGGTCCTGAAGGGTTTGCAGGGTGCATGATTGTGAGGGGGACGTGGTTGTGCCAGGAAGAGGACATCTAGCTGGTTAGCCCAATGTGGAGATAGAGGTACCAAGTGCCAGTTCTGATTTTCATTGGAGAACAGTATACTTTTCATAGAAAAAGGACCCTCACTCCGACCACAGACTGAACCCCGGTTTTTAATTATTTGAACTTCACACATAGACCTTTACCCTTCACCGCCCCCTTAAGCACACTTCAGTTAGCCATCCCACCACCTACACCCTAAGGTACGACTGTGCTGACGTCATCGGTCTTGGGAAACAGGTCATTATTATCACCTTCCTGTGCTGAGGGTTACAGTGTGCTCCACAGGTGGGGGTTCAAAAGGTAAAAACAGGAACATTTCTTAGGTCCTTTCTGTGCCATTGTGATTATCTCATATAGGTAGGCGTTATATGGAGCCATACAAAAACGAACAGTTTCACATGGTTCAGTCTAATACTAATATGTTCCATCTTACAGGTGAGATAAGTAAGGTCCAGGATAGGTGTATGTCTTAGTCAAGGTCACACTGTAATAATCTTTGCAGTCATGATTCAAATCACGTCTGTCTCCCACAATAGCTTTGAAATCACAAGCTGTGATTGAGGCTGGGTTCTGTCTCCTTAAGCATTTCCTGTGGCCTCCGCCTGATCTGGGCGCCCAGGACCAGAGTTCAGATGTCTTTCCATTAAGGTTATTCCTACCCAAATCCTCAAGCTGCCCTATAGCAAGGTGGAGAATGGCCTTTTACTAAAAGGGAGCCCACACTTGGAGCCAAGGTGAATTCTCCTATATGTGTGGTTTCCCTCCAAGCAGCTGTTTCCCTTTTTCGAGAGGCCATGTGGCTGGCTGGACTGCCCAGGAGGCTCAGGGGGTGTGGGCCGGCCGGCCAGGCAGTATCCTGGGAATTCCCTGCCACACAAAGCAGAGGAAGTGCTTGGATGCTGAGTGTGCTGCAGCTGGGAGAGGCACCTCTCCCAGGCTGACCGCTTTGCTTCCTCTTGCTCACACTCAGCCTGTCACACATTTAGAAACTTCAGGAATTTGGGAGAGAGTTTTTGTGATGGACTTAGCTTTGGTGTCTCCATCTACAGAGGGCTTTCCACCTGGGATCTGGAATCTGGTTGTTATGGCTCAGAGCAGTTTCTGGGAGTGACCAAACCGCCTCTGGCTTCTCTCTTGATACGTGTGTCACACCCTTTTCCCCTGTAGTCACATTCTCAAGCAGGTGCGGGTGTCTCTGTGCGAGCCTCCCAGGCTGCTGCTCTGACCCCTCCGCTCAATCTGGCCTCTGTGTACCTGCAGGATTTTCCTCATTTCTCTTTGATGCTGGCTGCAGATGATAGGGAGAAAACCTCTAGAGTAGCAGCTGGCTGCTGCGGCTGCTACTTGGGTTCTCCTAATACCTAGTTCATTGTGCTGCAGTGAAAGTTCTTCCAGCACAGCCAGCCCAGGAGGTGTCATCCTCCTGGATTGACCTCCAGGATCACCAGAGCAGCTGCTCCAGGAAGCTCCAGGAAGCTGCTCCGTGTTTCCTGAGCACATCAGCCCATTTTGTGGTTTGAAACTCAGAAGGGGTAGTCTGCATGGGGTCAGGGTGTGGGGCTGGTACCTTGGGTTTGTTTTTTGTTTTTTTGTTACGGGCTGACTGTGATCAGAATGAATGAGTCCTTATCTTTCAAGAGGTAAATAGAAGTCTTACAGATGCCTCCACAGAAACGCAAGGGATATGAGAGCTATAACTGGTTGAAGATTTGTGTTTTAGAACCAGCTTGGAGTCTTGGGGGCCAAAAGAGCATTTTAAAATCCATCCACCCACCCACCCATCATCCACCCATCTCTATCTTTTCAGTCTTGTTTGAGCAGCTACAACGTGCTAGGCCATGCTCAGCACTAGAGAGACAGTGGTGAACCATTCAATCACAGCCCCTGTCCCAGATGTGCTCCCACCTGGTGGAGTGTGTGTCCAGGGACGTGGAGGAAATCCTAGTCCCCAGATCAGAAGGAATTGCCCCAATCTGCTGAACCCCAATGGATATTCTAGTTTTTCAAAGAACCATGTATCAAAACCAGCTTGATTTCCCAAACAGTTGGGGAACCAGGAACTAGGGGAATCTTGGCCCTTTCTAAAATACTGATCTAGGGCATAAAACTATGTGCGACAGCAAAATAAATCCTTGGGTCCCTGTTCAGTCAGCTGCTGGAGAAGTGGCTGCCTGTGTCAGGTTCCTCGGAACCGAAAGAGCAGAAAGGGCAGAACTGGGGGTGAGTGGTGGTGGGGTGGGGAGAAGCCTCTGGGAATTGGGACCCTGCAGCTTAACAAACTAACTGTGTGCCATACACAATGTCAGCGATTTGAATCTTGAATTTGCCATTAACAACCTGTGTGACCTAAGCAAGTTTCTTACCTTCTTGATCCTCCGTTTTCTTGTCTGTAAAATGGGGCTATTAAGGCCGCTCTTGCAGGAGTTTGGCTGGATTAAATTAAAAAAGGGACAGGAAGGTGCCTGGTACATTGTGGGTGTTCAACACGTGTTCATTGTGTCCTGATAAATACTTGGTTCTGAGTCTCTCATTTCAGAAAACATTTAGGTTCAGATCTAGTTAGGAGAAAAAAATGGTTTGAGGATACCATTCAGTTAAAAAAAAAAATTGCTTCCTGGGCTTGATTCCATGTGGGACTCAGCAGACGAGCACAGATTGTTCCAGCTCTTGGCACCTGGTTTGCTCTCACACGAGAGCCCGCTCTGCTGTGGGCTGCAATGGTAAAGGTCTGATCACACTGCCAGCTCAGAACGCTCAGTTCAGTAGAGGGGGAGGGCCTCTCGCCCTAGATGGCAGGAAGAGCTGTGAATTCTGCCATAGGCGCCTGAGGCGGCAGGAGAGCAGGGGCTGGCGTGGGCCTGGGATGGGTCGATGGGTAGATGGGACACATCACAAAACATGTTATTTATTGGCTCTGTGGATGGGCAGCTTGAGAGCTGGTGGTAATTATGTCTGCCAGTGGAGGATGACAGCACAAGCAGAACATGACAGCGTCCTCCAAAGAGGGGCAGGCACCAGGCACAGATGCTGCCAGGAGACTCCTTTCTGGGGTGATTGCTGTGGGATGTCAGCAGCAGGCCCTGAGGCTGAGTCCTTGACCGATGGAGGGGCTGTGTCTGAGAACAGGGCTGAGTTGGGCCCTGGCCATGTTGCCCAAGGAGCTTGCAGAGAAGCAGTGTTGGGACATGGTTGGAAAGGCCCGGCCTTGGGCTTTGCTTTGGTCCTCCCATAAACAGCCATGCCAGGGTCTCTGATGGCCTGGTCGAGCCTGCTGGACACTTCCTCAGAGGCACCTGGAATAAAGGGAAGAGCCCAGGGATAAAGCCAGAATGTCTAGGCTCTAATCTGAATCCCGACCACCTCTCTGTATGCCTTGTGAGGCCCTCCATGGCCTCTGTGGGCCTCAGTCATAGGACAGTAGTACATGGAGCAGGTCATTGTGAGAATTATGAGATCCACTTAAACAGTGTCCACAGGTTAGCTTCCTTTCCTTTTCCTTCCCTTACCCTGTTTGGATCCAGGGTTAAAGAGGAGAGTAGGGCTGGGCAGAAGTAAAGGTCAGTGCCATCTAGGGCCCTGCGGCCAGCAGAGGGTCAGACCAGGGCTGGCAGAGGAGGCCCACAAGGCAGCAGGAGCACAGGACAGAGAAGCCCCCTTGGACTGGCCATCGCAGGTTCACCTTTGACTCCAGGGACCTTGCACAAGTTAGTTCACCTTCTGGGGCTCAGCGTCCCCACCTGCGAAGAGGCGATAGTGGTTTCATCCTGTCCATCCATGGGGTCAGTGTGAGGCCAGAGGCGATGGATGGACATGAAAATTCGGCTTCTAGAAGGGTAGTGCATGGCACACACATAAGGGATGGCTTTTTGTACAGAAGTCGCCTGCCTTAGGTTCCCCGGGGGCTGGCCCGCCTGGGGAAATGGACATGCCCTTGTCGACCTTCTTAGAAGGCCCCGTATTTGCTTCATGGGTACTTATCCAGAGACCAGACTGGCCGCCATGAGCTATTGGATGTCGGGGAATAGGGAGGAGCACTTTTTTTTGGCTTTGCCTCTTTTGACTGCTGGAAGGCCTGGGGTGAAGATCCTTTAGCCTGGGAGAGGCGGCCCCTGGGAGGACAGCCAGAAGGCCCAAGACTAGGAACAGAGACAGCCTGTGAGCCCTGCCTGAGATTAAATACGTGAATTAAACAAGAGCAGGGCATCCCCAGAGGTTGGAGACCCGGAGGTGGGTTTGGGGGTTATGCACGGAGAAACCAGGGGAGAATATTCTGCCATTATTCTAAGACTGGCGAGGACCATGATAGTGAGAAGAATATTTAGTGTCCGTATGTTACTTTAAGGATCACAGGCCCATTCACATCTATCACCGTATTTGATCTGGAGGAGTTGCTAATTGAGGCCATTTAAATGGTGGCAGGAAAAGAGTGTGGCTGGGACTAGTTCAAGGCTGGCTACTGATGGCACTAGGAGCATTGTGTGGCTTGAGGATGGTGAGCCCAGGGGAGGAGGGAGCAGGACAGCAGAGGTACCCCAGGCCAGGGACCTGACATCGGTCCCCAGAGTGTCTGAGGCCCTGTTCTCTGAGGCTTGCTCGGGGCCCCTGAGCTGCCGGTGAATTCTTACCCTGTTGCTCCCCACCACAGGCTTCCTTCTTCCTGCCCTATTTCACCCAACCCGCCTTGTTGCCATGGTTGCCTACTTAGGCACAACCCAGCAAGCACTGGAGCATTTCACCGCAGCCCTGCCCCAAAGCCATAGCAACCGCTGGGTAAACTTCTGCTTTTGGCTTTCCTTTGGGGAACCACACTTCCCTCAGCATAGGCTTCCAAGTCCTGAGGACCCCTGAGAAGACACCTTTCCTGCTGCCTCCCTGTTGGAAGCTCCAGGCCTCCATCCAACGGATGCTGCCGCAACCCCCTCTTCTGTTCCTGTTCTGACCTAATTCACGCTCAGTGCTAGAAATCCACCTCTCCCTCCCCCACCATGCCCACCTTAGGAGACACTGTTCTCTTAAAGGTCCAGGTCTAGGGCGGACAGGAGGTTCCCATACCAGGTCCCAGAAATCTCTCTCTCACATGTCACTCATTCTATACACATGGACTGAGGAAAGTGCTGTGTGTGAGCCTGTAGTGGGAGTTTAGAGACATGTCCCTGCCCTAAGGACTGGTGAACCAGCTGGGAGTGGGGGGGCCACGGTGTGTGCCCTGTGTTGGGGGAGGATGAGGGGTCCCAGCCTCGTCTGGCAAGATAAGTCAGAGAAGACACTGAAGGAGCACATACCTGAGTTGAATTGTGAGGAGTCAGAGGTGCCTAAGTTGACAGAGGGGACAAAGACAGGTCTTGGTGAGGATAGAGAGCTTCGGGGAGTTCCATGGAGCCCTGGGAGGACTTGGGCGCTGAAGGGGAAGAGAAGCTGGCAGTGGGGGGGAGGGTGGTGCTCATGGTGAAGGGCCTGGGGTGGCAACCACAGAAAGGGGGCTGGACTTTACCTTGGGGCAAGTCTGCAGGGGAGGCGGGGAGGGAGTTGGGGTCAGCAGAGGCTACTCTTCAAGGACAGACCCATCAGAGCTGAGGCCTTTAGCGACAGCTCGCTGCTCGCCAGCCCCTCAATGAGACTGGTCTGCATGGGCAGGTCCCCAGATCCTAGGTGGGCCTAGCCAGGCTTCTCCCTCTGCCCCACAGAAAAGCTACCCTGCAGGCTGCCTGCCCTGCCCGCTGTCTATCAGCACCTTTCTCTCCCACTGGACTTCTAGCTCAGATTCCACTCGGTAGGTGACTGTATCTGCTGCTGAGGGCAGCGACTGTATCCGCCATCCGCTCATTGCCTAACGCCCTTATCTCCCACTGCTGCCTGGTGGAGGCTGGGCCTCACGCTGGGTGGCCAGAGCTGGGGGAGTCCCTGGAGGTGAGGGCTGGAGATAAGGGATTAGGGCAGAACATGGCCAGGCACAGAGCAAGTTTTGGGGTTTTGTGTTTCTACTCAGCTCAGTGAAATCGCTCCTGCCAAGCATCTCCTTAAAATTTCTTCTCCCTTCCTGTTGGTGCTTGTGTGGGTGGATTTCACCAGGAAGGGGGAGAGATTTCTCTGGCACTTTTTCTCTCCACTTCTCTCCCTTAACCCTTTCGAGGTACTGACTGGCTCTGGTTTACCAGGCTGGCACCAGGGCTCAGTCTTTCTGGGGGTCGCCTGGCTTCCTGGCACTCTCTCCTGGGGCCGGTCCATGTTTATGGTGGTGGTGGGCAGCCCTCACCTTTCATGGACCCCTGGCCACTGGCCTGCCTGACTGGCTGAAATGCCCCCATGGGTGAGTCACTTCCTTGGGTCTTATAGGCTTTGGGGCTTCCAGAAGCCTCTATGGGAATGCTCTTCAGGCCTGCACAGCTGGACATCGAGAGCCCACAGTCCAAAGACCATTGGGCCTCTGCTTCTGCAGCCACTTAGGAGCCTCAGCCCCTTACCTGGAGGAGGGGTTCATAGTCCTGGCCAAAGGGAGGATGTGAGGACCATCTCTGGATGGAGAAGGATTCAGTGGGATCTGGGGTTTCAGAGCCAGCAGTTCCTTTTATTCTTCAGGAAGGCTGGGTCCTTTGTTCTGAGGTCCTCTGTGGAGAAATAGAGGAGGGTGAGTCCTCTAACATATCGAGGGGGTTCTGAACCTTCTACAAAAGGAAGAGTAGGCTGGGAAGAGACCCCTCGGGCGGAGCGGAGAAGAGGTGGGAGAGGGGAGGATGCTGGGAGCAGCCAGCAGGAACATCTGGGCAGAACCCAGCTTTGCTTCCGCTCAGCCCTCAGTGTGTGTCTGTGCATGTGTCACCCCCAGCCTGGTCCCTGCCCTGTTGTTACTTAACTCTGAGACTCCCATAACTCCTATTTAGTTACCCCTGATCCTAAGTGCTGTCCCCAGGGTGTGGGTGTCATTAGGGGCGGGGGTGGGGGGGGGAGTGGTGCATGCCATAGGCCACAGAACAAGAGTGTCCAGAATCCCTGATGGTGAGATTTCAGGCTTGGTGAGACAGCTCCCCCTCCAGATTGCATAGAATCACTTAACCTTAAAGCACGTTTTCCCTGGACCCTCCCTGCCATGAGCAGCCACCTGGCAGCTCTGAGCTACTAAACTCCTGAGTGCTGGGTGTCTACCTAGCACAGAGGCCTCGAGTGTTGGGGAGGTTCACTGGAGAAGAACAGAAAGGAGAGTTCTGTTGTTGGAGGGAGTCAAGGATAGACATGGGGTGATGGGGGGGGGGTCTATCAGAGTGACTTGGGACCTGCAGAGTAAGAAAAGAAGACACTAAGAGCCCACAGCCTGAGCGCCCTCCTGTGAGTTAAGCAGCACCCGATCTAGACAATTCTACATATTCTCTGGAGCTCTTTCCATGAGTGGATGGTTACAAATATACAAGGAGCTCTTCCACAAAACAACTGGTCTAACTCCTCAAAAATGCCGGTGTCCTGAAAGACAAAGGCTGAGGGACTCTTCCAGATGAAAGGACACTAAAGAGACATGGCACCTGAGTGCAAGGAGTGATCCTGGATTGGATCCTGGAATGAGAAAAAGTAAAAAACTAGAAAGGCCATCAGTGGATGGGCGGCAGAACCTGAATATGAACTGGTATTAGATGATAGTAATATCAGTGTTACGGTTCCTGAATTTGGCATTTCTGTTGTGGTTATAAAAAGAATGTCCTTGTGTTTAGGGGTAAACGGTCATGTTGCCTTAACCGACATCGTTGTTGTTGTTGTTGTTGTTGTTGTTGTTGTTATTGAGAGAGAGGGAGAGAGACAAACAAATGTGGCAAATGTTAACAATTGGGTTTACCATTATGGTACTATTCTTGCAACTTTCCTGTAGGTTCGAGATTTTGCAGAATAAAACATTGACTACAGAGAGCTTGAGTCCTCAGAACTGCTCCCTCACCCCAACCTGGGCTAAGAGTGGAGGGCTTTCTCTCTTTGGAGAGGGCCTTTGTGGGGGTGGGAAAGGCTCTGGCTGTTTCAGAGGGTGTGGCCACCTGCCTGGCCTGGGTCGGCGGTGAAAGGGTGACCGTCACTGGGTCTGCGAGGCAGGGGCCCTGTGGAGACAGACACCTGCTTGTTTTCTGTCCTCACTCTTTCCCAAAACACGTCCCCCCACAGGCTACTCGGGATGTGGTGCTGAGCCGGGCGCCAGAGCAGGAGGAGGACCGGGCAGCGAGTGTGCAGAATACGGCGGCCATCTACGACCTCCTGAGCATCACGCTGGGCAGGAGGGGGCAGTATGCCATGCTCTCTGAGGTACGGCTGGCCCACACCACCCAGGAGTCTGGTGGCGCGCAGAGGAAATCAGATGGGGCCCCCAGTTGTCATCCTCCATGTCCCTTCCCTGCCTCCACCAGGGACCACACAGCTCAGTTCTGGGAGGCCAGGCTTGGAGCTGTTTCATTTCCAGTGCCAGGCGAGCTGCCTCTCACTGGCAGGGTGTTTTTTAATTTTTTATTTTATTTTTTTTGGTTTTGCTAGTATTTTTATGTGCTTTTCTTTTTAAAGAACACATGGCATTGTATAGAGGAGCAAAACAGGAAAATTTTCCACCCCTCAGTTCCCCCCCGCCCCCCCCCCCGAGATGGATGACACGGGTGTTTTGTGACTGCCTCTCCTGGCAGGGTTCCGAGCTGGGTAGACAGACACCCCCATTCTGTTGGGAAGACCCTGCTGGAGCAATGCGCAGTGGACTGTGCCCAGAGAATGGTGTCTCTCCAGGGCTGGGGGTCGGGCACCAGGCCACCAAGCTGCCGCTCCCTCTCCTTTCCCCTGCCTACAGGGCACATGGTACACACACATTTTCCAGCCAAGGCTGAGATCAAGGAGGCTTTGGGGCTTTGTCTCCTTGTGACAGGAGTGAGCCTCTTGGCAGGAGATTCTCCTTTCATGTGTTTAGAAGGGCTCCGGAAAGGAGGGATGGTGACATGTGCAGAGCCCCTGTTCGCACCAGGCACCACGCGAGGTGCTTGCTAAGATGATCCCCTCATTAATGTGGGAAGGATAAGTGCTGTTCTCTCAGCTTTACCATGAGGAAGACGAGGCCCAGAAAAGTGGGTTTTTTCCCCCAAGATGGCGCCTGGAGTGCGTGTTGAGCCAGCATGTGAACCCAAGCCGTGGAGCTCTTACAGTGCATGCTGTCTGGTCCTGTACCCCTCACTCTGTCCTCCACCCCCACCCCAACCCCCAACCATGGCCGTACGATGAATGCTGGCAGTGGCTGCCTCTGGCACCCGGAAGTGTCTGTGGAGGGATCTCACCAGGCAGCCACTGATTTGGGGTTGCCCAGGACTGGACGGGCCTGTGGAGCAGATTTTTCCAATGGGCCTAGAGAACAGCAGGGTATAGAGGAGACTTTACATTTGGGCGACGTTCTATTCATGGGCTCTGCAGTCAGCCTGCTCTGGCCCTGCGACTCTAGCAAGTCATTCAAGCCTTAGTTTTCTCATCTGTGAAATGGGGGTTATTAGAGACCCCACCTCACAGGGTTGTTGGGAGGAGTAAACAAGTTAATATATGTAAAAAGCTGAGAGTAGCACCATGCACAATATTAATAAATGCCAGCTGTTAATTTTATTGCATCTCTACATTTTGAAAGCACTTTCACAAATCTCATTTCATTTGCTTTTCGCCACCGTTCTATGAGGTCATTCACATGTTATGGAGATGGGAACCCAGGGCTAGAGTGGGTGAGATACTTGCGCAGGGTCACACAGCATGCCAGAGGCAGAGACAGGTTATCCCTGGAATGTTCTGACAGGAACCCAGTACGAGCCTCCTGCAGCCTCCTAGAGCTTACCTAGTTAGAGTAAGTAAGCTCCTGGAGCTTTTACATGGGCAGTGGAAGGGTACAGGTGGCCTGGGGGGTGAAAGGACCCTGGCAAGGAGGTGCTGACTGTCTCCCTCTCCCCAGTGCCTGGAGCGAGCCATGAAGTTTGCATTTGAAGAATTCCACCTTTGGTACCAAGTGGCCCTCTCCATGGTGGCGTGTGGAAAGGTAAGGCCCTGCTGTGCTGGGGGTTGCACACTCCCCCTCAGGGGGTTCGGCTTTCCTCGGGTCCCTCCCAGAGGTGGGGGAAGGCGGGCGGTGATTCAGAAATGTTGTCTGGCAGCTGATTTTCATCTCTAAGAGAGTAAGGGCCCAGGAGGGCCACACACAGACCCCTGTGTGAATTCGATGTCTACGTGTGAGTTATGAGTATGCCAGGTGTGCAAATGAGTCTGTGGGTGCTTTTCTCTGAAGACATGTATACCCATGGGGCATCGTATCATTTCTGTAGGTGAATTGACGGGTACAACTGAAGGAGGCAGATGTGGGGCGTGGGTTCCAGTGAGGGGAACATTGTTCCGTTTGGGCTGTAGCTGTCATTCTGCCCCCCAACGGTGGAGTCAGAAAGGAACTTGCCCGTGAATCAGGAGCTGACCCTATCCCGGGTCTCAGGGCTGCGATCCGCTCTCCGCCCACCAAGCCCACATTTTCCCTCAGATGAGAATCACACTTACATAAGCCTCTATTTTAAGCAGTGACATGAAAGGAAAAGCTTTCCGGGGCTGGGTGCTGGGGCTGTTGGAGCTGAAGATGCTTCGAAGTCAGGAAATCAGGTGGCATGAGCTCGCAGATCATTCCAAGAGCTATAAACACCCAGGGCCCTTGCATGGGGCTGAGGGAATTCCTCGCCCCCTCCCCCCACCCATCTGCGCCACCTGCCGTTTCTAGCCCCACAGCCATCTCCGAGGAGGCCCCTCCTAGGCTTGCCAGCACCTCCTCCACAAATGGAGGGTGCACAGGCCGGGTCCTGGCAGGGAGAGAGAGAAGAGCAGGTGCTGCAGCTTGACAGGTGGGCAGTACAGCCGAGAATCAAGTGGGGAGCCTTCTCTGCCCCTGCTCCACCCGGTATTGATCTTCCCAAACCTCTGCCCCTTCCCGCATCATTTTGGCCACCTCCCAGAGCACCCTGAAGTCACAACATGATGTACCCCGGCTCTGTGCTCAGTGGGGTCTTGTCAAGGCTGAGGGAGAGTTCAGAACAAAGATAGGGTGAGGCCTAGGGCGGGGCGGGGGGGAGTGGGGGCTGGAGCTTACAGCATGGAGCCTGGGCAGGCAGCTCACAGTGGCCTGTGACGGCTTCTTCCTGCCTCTAGGAAACAGAGAAAATGCCTCCAGTCTTGCACTGGTGAGCATGGACCAGGAGGAGAGGTCCAGGGCCACAGTGGTTCTCATCCTCCTGTGGGTCACAGACCCTGGTGAGATGCTAAGGAGAACTGGGGACCCCTCCTCAAAGAATGCATCACACACGGGTGTTAGCTTTAATTTCTGGGGGTGCTCTTGGGAGGCCCCCTGCCTCGGAAGAAAGTATCATCTTAGCCTGGGAGGTATGGGTCTTCTACCTCCTTACTGAGAAGAGCCAGGATCAGAGAGGTCCAGACACAGCCTGACACATCCTGGGATTCTGGGACCTGGTGTCCCAGCCCCGCTGCTTCGCAGACCAGCAAGGTGTGTATACACGAGAATGGGCTTATAGACAGGGAGTTGGGGCGATTGGTGAGTTTCTCACACATGAGGCCCCACAGGCTGGAGACACTGGGTTACACCTTCCTCTGCACTGGGTGCAGCAGGAGATTGTTCTCGAAGCACACTTTGTACCCCCCTGAGGATCTCTGCACACCAGATCAATCGGCCTGGTTAGCCAGATCTCACCTTTGCCGAGATCCTACCGTAGAAATCAAGGTTCTAGACCTGCAATTGTGCCTGAAAGGTCTTCCAGAAGGTGAAGCCGGGCGGATAGTAATATATCTGGCGCTTCAACCTGCAGGAAGAAAGGATGAGTTCCATGTCATGATTTAGGTCGCTCCTTCTCTTGGTCTCCTCAGCAATCACATTGGCTGTGTTGCTAGGTAACCAGCATGACAAAAAAAAAAAAAAAGCGCTGGCTGCTCTGACTGTAGAGTCCTCAGATGGCTCCTTAAATAGCAGTGTTTTGTGGTTTGGGTGGGGGTGGAATGTGGAGGGTCAGAGTTAGAGAACCCTGTATTTCAAGGATGCACAGGTCAGCAGCCAGGGAAGGGGCCAAGAAAAGGCCTGAGGCTTGCTGGGGTGTGTGGCCAGACATGCCCTGGTGGGGGCGATGGGCGTGGCATTCACAGAAGAGGGTCTGGGGAGAGGTGGATGGCCCGACAGCTCCGTCAAGCCCCTCATGCAGCACTCCTTGCTCCAACCCACACCGGGCACCCCGTGCCATCTCCCAACCTGCTGGAGCCTGTCATTTGCTCACACACCCTTGTATGCTTGGTCTCATATCCTCTTGTTTCTTGAGAGAGCAGTGGGCGATGGCGGCATTTGTCTTCTCTCCCCAGCCTTTGTGTGGGCTCCTGATAGCCAGGAGCCATGGCCTCTTCCCCCTCCCGCAGGGACTCCACTACCCCTAGCCCAGTACCGGGCACAGAGCAGGCCGTCAGCTGAGACACCTGGAATTGGCCTAATGAGCCCAGAGCCCAGTGAAATCTGTCACATCCAGGCTGAGAAGAGTTCTTCCATAAATGGTGGGGAAAGGAGGGGTAGCTTGAGAGAGGCAGGGGGTCCAGGGTACACACAGACAAGTGGGGTCCCAGGCCTGCATCTGCCAGTCCCTCACACCATGCTGTGGACAGGTGAGCCTTTCAGAGCCCCCATTTCCTCAGCAGTACCTCTGGAGTTGCCAGGGAGGGTGAGAGCTAGTTAGTGGTGGGGAGCTCAGCCCACAGTAAGATCCAGTACATGGGAATCATCGTAGTTACAGACACATGTCCCTGCCTACCTGGGGCTCACACGGGAAGGGGAGTGTACACGTTGGGGGGTGGGGGTGGAGGGGATCACTGCTGAGTTTCATGGAAAAGCATTGCATTCACTCAAAAGGTTCCAGCCCTGAGTGAGTGAGTGTGTGGGGTGGGGAGTGGGGTGACAGAGACCCCTTCCCTGGCCAAGGTAGTCATTACAAAGGGGAGATAGGGCAGTGGCTACGAGCTTTCTCATAGAGTCACTGTTCAAACCCCAACTCATCCACTCACAGACAATGTGGATTTGAACAAGCTACTTAACTTACCTGCATTTCCATTTCCTCATCTGTGAATAGGAACATAGCACCTACCACATAGGAGAGCTGTGAAAATTAAATGACTTCATATTTATAAAGCACTTACAATGGCGGTCAGCAGACTTTTTCTGTAACTGGTCAGATAATAGATATTTTGGACTTTGCAGGCCCAACAGCCTCTGTGGGAACTGCTCAGTTCTGCCTTCTCATCATGAAAGCAGCCATAGATGATACCTATACATATATGAATGGACGTGGCCGGGCTCCAGTAAAACTTTATTTCCACAAAAGTAAGCAGAAGACCAGATTTGTCCCTCTGACTTGCAGCAATGCCTGGTGCATAGTAAGACCTAGATAAGTGTTAGCTGGTGTTCTTCTCATTACCGGACGCTATCCCCTCCTGGCCCTCCGCCCACTACTGGACCACCCTCAGCAGGTCTAGTCTGGCCCTGTCTCCATGGCTGAGGCCCTGGAGCCTTAGGGGATCCCTAGATTCCTGTCTGGAGGTTCTCTGTGGCTCTGCCACCTTGCCTTCTCTCCTCCTCCTGTGCCAGCCTATATGCCCTGCCTCCAAGTCCCCATGTGGGTTTGGCCTCCTCTCATCACCTTATTGACCCAAGGGTGTTGCACTCAGAAGTTTGAAAGAGCCCCTTTCTACCTCTAAAATTTCTGTTGTTCACATTTAAATTGCTTTCAAAGAGCTTCCGTCTGTTGTCACCTTAGCTGTTATCACATCGCTTCTGGACAAGGGTCACAGCCTCCATTCTCCAGATGAGGAAACTGAGGCCCAGGAGGGACTCGCCTGTTCCTACTGCCTGGGCTGCTTCTGCTGGGCCTTCTTCCTGGCTCTAGAGAGGAAAGGAATGCACAGCAAGGCCTGGCGGTTTGGGAACTTCCCCACTGTATGCACAAGGCACCCAGTCTGTTGTGACCTAGGGCTGCAAGTGACGGTATTGCCTGCTCTTTCTTCTGCAGTCGGCCTATGCCGTGTCGCTGCTGCGGGAGTGTGTGAAGTTGCGACCCTTAGACCCCACTGTGCCCCTGATGGCCGCCAAGGTCTGCATCGGATCCCTGCACTGGGTGAGTGAGCTGCGGGGGCAGGGTGGGCAAGGCCCAGGTCCTGGCAGCTTCCTGTGGGAGGATGGCAGCAGGTGGGCTTGAGATGGGGGCATGCCCATATTGCTGTGTGTGTATGAGGGTAGTATAAATGACAAAGTATGGAGAGGGCTGGATGGGTCAGGGAGGCTTCCTGGAGGAGGCGGCCTTGGACTGGAGGTCTGGTGAGGATCAAGGCTGGCCAGTGGTGGGCCCTTCTGTCACAGCTTGCTTTCCCAAGCCCCGTGATTAGCAGGGAAATCCCTTGCTCCCCAGGTCTTTTCAGGGACACTATTGGCATCTCATACCCTAGAGGTAGGGCACCCTTGGGATATGGGTGGTATGTGGGTGCCGGCAGAAAGGAGGCACCCACCTAGGCCAAGCACTGCAACAAACAGAGGGTAGTGGTATGAGCTGGAGGATCAAGAGAAAGTGGCCTCGTCGACGACCCCAGGGCCCCTGAGCAGTGCTTCAGCCCTTCACTAGAATGAAACCCAAAATACCTGTCTTGCTGAGGTGGGGCGGGGGAGGGCATCTGTGCTTCTACAGGCTGCCGGCTCTGAGGTGGCTGTGGGCCCACCCAGCCAACAGCTGCCCTTGCCAGGAAGCCCTAAATTTAGGTCTTACCGCCACGGAGGAGCTGTTTCTCTCAGCAGCATAATTATAGTAATTATGTGCATTCAGATTACATGGTAATAAAATTAGGATCAAATCAGTCCAAATTGAAATCAGATGAGTTAGGAGCAAAGTAATCAATGACAACATAAATAGAAAAGCCCAAAAAGAAACTTAAACATGCAGACTTGATCAGAATTGGGGGAGAAGGTGAGCTGTTTAACCCACTGAGAGCATGTTTGGGTTTGGGGGCTGGCTTGAGGTTTAAATCGGCTGCAGGCTAAGGGTCCTGCTGGAGGGTTGGGGGTTTGGGGACCTCCTGGTGACCTTCCCTGACCAGAAACCTCACCCTCCACAGCTCCCTAAAGCCCCCCTTATATCCGCCTTGGACACTTAGCACATCACATTGTAATCATCGGTGTTTCTCCAGGGTAGGAACTGTCTGTCTTCCTTTTTGAAACCCCAGCCCCAAGTGAATGCCTGGTGCTTTCTGGATGGAGCCTACTTGCCCATGCACACAATCACTTGGCATTGAATTCTGCCTTATATGGTACTGGTCTTCTTCCCAATTAGATGGGTACTTCTTGGACCCTGAACCCCTCTTCCTCATACAACCCTGCACATAGTAGGTGTTTGCTAATATCTTATAGAATGACACCACCCCAGCTGGCCAGGAGGGACGGGTATGGGAGGTCTGCATCTGGTTCAGTGGTTCTCCCTGTTTCCCTGGGTTGCTGCTAGGCTGAGAGCAGGCTGTGGGTAGCCAAGGGCAGCCTGTTCTCCAAGAAGGCTTAGGAGAAGGGCGGCCTGGCACTCTCTGTTATCAAGGCTGTCAGCAAAAAGAACGGGTCTGACTGTGGCAGGCAGAGGGGTGCTAGAGCTTGGGACAGGGCATGGATCCCGAAAGGTGTCTGACGCCATCTCTGTCTCCTGACTTTGTAGCTATTCTGGCTCACATCAGCCCCCAGCAGGCCCAGCCATTGCCCAGCCAAGCTCTAGTAGCAGGGGACAGAAATCTGGGGGTGGACAATTTGGCCCAGGTTTCAGGAAGGGAGGCTGAAAGTGGGACATTTGAAAAACGAGTTGTGCTGGATGAAACCAGACTGGGTGGCCATGTGCCCAGAGGCGGAACACCTGCTGTCCCCAGGTCCTGTTCTATGCCCAGAGCCAGCATGGGACATCCCAGGCTGGGTCTGGGTCTACGAGCAAGGTTGTCCTTGGGTGAGGGTGGTAGGGAGAGGACCGGGCAGAGGGACCTACCTGCATGGTCACGTGCTGGTGGATGTGGGGTTCGCAGTGGGTTGGGAGCACCTGGAGCAGCTGTGGGATCAGGTGGGAGGTTCGGCCTGATGCTCCCATGGGTGACAGCAGTGTGTGGCAACCTCTGCTTTAGCATGGCCAGCATCCTACCAGGGTCCCCAGTCAGTTATTTGGGGCATAAGACAAAGGAGATGTAAATATTTTTTCATATCCCTCCCAACACAATTATTTAAAATTCATTTAATTTGAAAAGTGGAATCTTTTCTAGGAGGACTGGAGATGGGGGTGTGCATGTGTGCTGTGTGTCACGCACAGTAGGAGAAGGAGAGGAGGCTGTGAAACAGAAAAGCAGGCCATGCTCCTCTTTGGAAAGGTCTGTGATGCTGTATCTGAGCCTCTTCCCCTGAGGAAACAGTATGGATGGTAGGAAGAGTGCAGGCTCTAGAGGCAGAGAGGATAGGGTTCAAACCCTTGCCTACCCACTTAGTGCTGTGTGACTTTAGGGGAGTTGTCTGCCCTCTCTGTGCCTCATCTGTAACCTGGAAACAGTCACATCCACTATTATAGGTGGTCGTGAATACCAGAGCTGAGTAGTGTCCCTGCTTAGCACATTGCAGGTATCTGCTAAATGGCAGCTATCCCTGTCACAGCCCCTTCAAAATAGCAGGCTCTCAAAAAGGATGTACTTGTATGTTTTTGCCTTCGTTTTTCAGATGCAGGGGTGAGCAGAGCTAGGAAGATGGATTAAGTGTTTATGAGGCAGGGAAGAAAGAATGCCAGCTGTCCTGCACTAGCTTGTCGGAATTAGGAAGAGTGCTTCCCAGGAAGACAAAAGTGCATTTTCTAGAGCAGATCACAGCAGATTCTGGGCCCTGTGGGAAGGGCCTAAGGAGAAACTGGAGGTGCTCTTTAAACAAACTCTGCTGGCTCAGAAGTGACCTTTCTCTGGTTCCCAGAAAGGGAGGAGGAGGGTGAAGGTTCCAGGGGACCAGCCTTTTTGGCACCCTGCGGGATGAAGAAGGCAGCCCTAGAGATGGAAGGCAGCCTGAGCATGAGCAGAGTGTGCAGCCAAAGCCTGTCTGCATGGGGACCACATTAGGACAACTGGAGAGATTCAGGAACTTGTCAAGTCACAGGAACATTTTCCTTACTTACGGAAAGCAAACGCGAAGGGTCAACACATGATATCCTTCAGTGCATCCTCTCCCCAAAGGGTTAGAGAGGAGAAAAATGAACCACCGGGGGCAGCCATGAATTAGGCAGCTCAGAAAGAGTCAGATACAGAGTCAGGAGACCTGGGTTAGAAACTCAGTTTTGGAGCAGCCGGGTAGCTCAGTTAAGTTAAGAGCGCAGTGCTCACAACACCAAGGTTGCCAGTTCGATCCCCACATGGGCTGCTGAGCTGCACCCTCCACAACTAGATTGAAACAACTACTTGACTTGGAGCTGATGGGTCCTGTAAAAACACACTGTTCCCAATAAAAAGAAAAAAGAAAAAAAAATTAAATTATTTAAAGAAAGAAACTCAGTCCTGCCGCTTTCTAGCCAGGTGACCTTGGGTGGGTCTCCTAAGCTCCCTGTGCCTCAGAATCTTCAGCTGTGAAACATCACTCCATCAGGTGGCCTCTGTGCCAAGAAAGGCCAGGTAAGCACTAACTTGCTCTAGGGTCTCAAAGGAGGAAGAGGGTGAGGATCTCCCCCTGGGTTTTGTGGCAGCTATATGGCTGCCGTAGGTAAAGGAGGTATTAATAACCCCTTACCCTAGAAGTATTTTGGTGAACAAGGTGGCCCAGTGCTGTAACCTGAGCGAATCTTGCAGAAGCAGTGACCACAACTACAGAGTCACCAGCTGTTAACTTTTGATGCCACCGGAGGAAGTGTCTGGAGATTGGAAAAGACCGATGAGGTCCCAGGTGGGGAGAAAGATGGATAGGAGGGTTGTAGATGGGCCAGTGCTGGGCAGTTCAGTTAACCATTTGTTTTTCACATCGCAGGTTGATACACATAGGTTATGAAATAGAACTCTTTAAAAAAAAAATTGAAATAGACTATTAGAGAATAGGATAGAAAATATCAGAGTATATTACCCAGAGCAAGAAGAAGTGTTGTGAACTGTTAGTGGTTATATGTATGTGTGTCCTGGACCATGGGTTGGGGTCAGAATTTGACCAACCCGGCACAGTGGACACCCAGCTTGTCCTTGTGTAGAATCACTCCTGTTCTGTGACTAAAGGTTAGGGCAGAGACAAAAGGCAGGCAGTCATCTCCCCTCTCTGAATTCCAGGAGAGTCTTTGATGCCACTTCCTAGTTTGTCACTGAGACCATCTACTCAGATGGCACTTGCCACATCTATCAGGATGAGACTTAAAAAAATTCTGGAAGATTCAACTCATTACAGATATAAAATTACAACTAGTAGTAATAATAGTTTACATGTATTCAAGCACTGCTCTGAGCAGCCACCGTGGCTTGATCTCCTTCAGTCCTCCCAGCAACCCTATGAGGCAGATACTTGTTACCCCCATTTCATTGAAGAGGGAACTGAGGCACAGCAAAGTGAAATGACGTGCCACAGGTCACACAGTAAGCAGCTAAACCTGGACTTGAGGCGGCAAGTCTGGCCTCAGAGCTTGTGTTCTTAACTACTGGGCTGCCCTGTTCTCTGTGTAGGGAGCTATTCATAGGTGTGGAACTGACTCTGGACTTGGGTGGGATTATAGTTCTTCAGGATAGAGGGGGCAAAGCCAGATCCTCAAGGGCGTTAGGCATCCCACTCTTGTCTTAGATGAAGGGGAAGTGTGCATTTTATATATGAAATATATATATTTTAAAAACTAGTTTTTAAAATATATATCATATTTAAAATATACATACATAGATATTTTGAGGTTGTTTATCATATTACATATTGTCATACTTAACAGACTTGATGATATTTCTTTTCTTCATAATCACTGCATTGACTCCGCATGTAAAAAAGCTGCTTTGTTTCTGGTACTAGAAATCAAAATAGTGTTGGCCACGTAGGAAAACGGTACGTTGCAGCCTTGTGAGTTTGACCTGAGACAGATGCTGACATCATACTTAGATCATTTTAAACTACGTGGATAAGGCTGGCAAGTACTGGAGAAGGCATGCTACCGACCTGGGGGTCAGAGTAGACCACAAGTTGGACAAGATAAGGATGTATTCGCTTTTTAAAGCTAAAGGGTGGTGAGCTCAATTCAGAATACGATGTGTGTGAACTGGAGAGTAGCTTTTCCGTTTGCCAGTGATTGCTGAGCCTCGTTCTCAGCACCCTCTCTACGTGGGTTGCAGGAGGTAGAAACTGCTGTTTGCCAAGTAGAAGGACATGGCCATGGAAAGAGTGTTTACACATGAAATGCAGTAGGTTTCTGGATTCTTTTTGTAACTTTTACTTGGTGGTTTATTTTTAAAAGCCTGCTCCTTGTCAATGAGGCATAATGATGCCCAAAGACCATGTGTGAGATGAGCCGTGCCAGCAGTAGGGATATTAAGAAGGGGAAAGGTGCTATTTGCTCCCTTACTCTTCCCGTGGTGCCCCTTGTCCCCTCTCTGCCATGAGGCCTCCTTGGACAGCCCCAACCACACAATTGCCCCTCTTAGAGCTCCTGTATCCCCATGCCAGCCCCACACAGTGGAGCCTTAATTAAGAGCCGGCTTGCTCTGTGCGGCCTTGCCCTCCTCTGTCAGTTTGCAGGACTCCATGGGAGCTCACCAGGCATCCTGCTCCCTCGTCACTGGGCATTTCCAGGTGGGCCCAACACAGAGTCAGGTGCTACAGAGGCCTCAGTGGAGGTTTGTGGGGAGGAACAGTTGGAGTGGGGGGTGCAACTCCCCATTTTACAGACGAGGACCTTTGGGGAACAGAAACTGAGTGACTTGCGCAAAACCCCATGGCTGTCAGGTGCTGAGCCAGGATCGGAACCCATGTCGTGGCCGTGGGGAGGGGAGGGGGTTGTCCTCTCGTGCTTTTCTCTCAACCTGGCTCAGCCTCCTGAACCCTACTGACCCAGGTGCTCCAGGAGACAGATCTCAGTGTCTCCAGCCTTGGGCCCATCCAGCCAGTCAGAGCTGGTCAGCATGCAGCTGCAGGGTTTTCTGAGTTGCTGCCTCCCCTGAGCCCCAGCTCCTTGGCTCTGATGGTATCAGAGGCCCAGCTCTCTGAATTCCTCATGCTTTAATTGACCAGCTCACCAACCTGGAGGCAGCCTACTGCTCAGGCTAGCAGCTTGAGCTCGACCAGGAAGGGAGTGGAGGGCTGCCATACTCCGCATTTGTCAGAGATGGTGTTTGGACCACATAGGGATTCAGCCCTCCTCACCCATCTCTCTTTGGGCTGTCAGCTCACCCTCTCTGCCTCCCTTGTATTTTGGCTTTATTTTTTTCCCCTCTGGGCACTGACTAGGTTCTCTGCTCCATCAGCTTTTTTCTTGCACGTAGCTCACCACAGCTGCACCCAAATGGTGGACTCGGCTCAACTCGCTTCCCCACGCTGATGGCCTCTGTCTCAGCACCTCAACTCCACACTCCAAGAGTCTACCGGCACCGCCATCCCCTATTCCCCAGCTATGGCCAATGGTCAGGCTACAAAATGCACAGAGCTGCCTCTCTCCTGAGGGAGTAGAATGGGCCTAGGCAGGGACAGGGACAGGGGCAGGGTAGGGCACACGGGCTTAGGTGCCAGAAGCCAACTTAGATTTGACTCTGCCCCCTGGTTGACTGACTTCGTGGGCCTCTACTGGAGGAAGACACTCTGCACAAGGAGGCCTTGACATCTGGGTGGCAGTGGGCTTTGGGTATGATTGGTTCAGCCCCCTTGTTGGAGGCGGTACCCATTTTGTTCTTAGTGACAGGAACTCAAGTACACTGCCATATCCGGCATGTGGGCGGATGGACCTGGGAAGAGGGAGAGGGCATTTCTTGGAAGCCTGTGGGCTATGAGTGGGCACAGCTGAGACCCCCAGCTGCCCCCTGCCCCCTGGGGCCTGACTGTCATGGGTGCCCCAGAGTGCGTGAGAGGCCTGCCTTGTGTATGCCCCCTCTCTTCATGTCACATGTTGTATAGGATGATGTGTGCCCATGTGACCTGTGCCTATTGATCCCTTTCTAACTGGATTAGTCCCTCCCGCTTCCAGGACAAAAACAACCCCAGGCCTTTTTCCCCTGAAAAGTTCAAGCTCCCCATGTCAGGGAGCAAGCTCACAGGCAGAGCAGGAATGGCAGCCTGCTGGCTTTGCAGGGTGGACAGTGTCCCGCAGGCCCAGGCCCAGGCCCAGAGCCCTGCCTGCCCCTCTGCCCCGCCCCTGGCTCTTCTCTGATGAGCAGGGCAGGGACAGACACAGGTACCTACAGACGCCAGATGAGGAAAGGAGCTGGCAGACCGGCCTGGTCCTGGGTCCATGCTCTCAGCCGGACGCGGGTCCCTAGGGCAAGGAAAGCTTTCCCTGCAAGAGGCAGCGCCCTGACCTTGAGCACAAGGCCCCTGGGTGGGTAAAGAGGTCCAGGGAGTCACTGGTAGAGGTAACAGCTTTGATTCTTTCACTTGGGCTGTGTGGCCTCAGACAAGCTACCTGGCCTCTCTGGTTATGCTGCCCACACATGAGGAATTGTGGTTCTGAGTGACCCATGCTGGTGACTCAGTGGCCTGCATGCCAAGGCCAGCGAAGCTCTCCCACTGACCTTTGCCTCTCTTCTTTGCAGCTGGAGGAGGCGGAGCACTTTGCCACGATGGTGATCGACCTTGGCGAGGAAGCTGGGGAATTCCTCTCCAAGGGCTACCTGGCGCTGGGTCTCACCTACAGCCTGCAGGCCACTGACGGTGAGTTCAGGGCCTCAGAGCCTCTGTTGGGGGTGACTCAGCCCTCCTGATGGATTCCCAGGCATCTTGTTCCATCAGTGCCCACCTTCCAGCACATCTCCATCGACTCCTCTGGGATAGATGTGCACATGCGCACACCCCACCCCACCCCCCAGTCCCATTTCCACCCTTGCCCAGACTTCACCACTCCCGGGCATGCCTTTTGCATCAACCAGTCCTTCCCCCACTTCAAGGCCCAGCCCCAGCTCTCGGCAGAGTTGTGCTGACCTCTGCCTCTGGGACCCCTGTGGTGCTGGCAGCTGTAATGGGCCACTAGCCCTCACCCACATTCTGGCTCATTCTGATTCACCTTTACCCTCAGCACCACTGTGATTTTCCTGAGGTCTTTTAAATCCCCCTCCACGCATGACACAGGGCTGGGTACACAGCGAGTGTCTAATAAACACTTGTACTTGGCGGGTGGGTTCTACAGCTGCCACCCAGAGCCTGGCGTTCCCTCCCCAGCCCTGCCAGCTTAGCTGTGTGTCCCCCATAGGTCGGGCAGCCACCTGCTACTTCTGTATCCTTGCAGCTTCAGGGAAAGGGAGTGCTCCACTAAACCAAACCCAGAATAGGAATTGGCCCCCAAAAGTATGATAGAGGTTATGGGGGTGGGGGGGCTGGGATGAGGGAGTTAGGTTCAGTGGGTAAATACTTCCTGTTAGGGATAATGAAAAAGTTCTGCAGATGGAGATTGGTGATGGTTGAAGAACATGTGAATGTACTAATGCCACTGAGTTGTACACTTAAATTTTGTTAAAATGGTTAAAAAAGCAGCAGCAGCAGCCTCATGGGTAAGGAAGCCCAAGGAAGGATGTGGCCAGGTTGGAAGTAGGAACCTTTCTCTCGAGGCTCAGGCCTGTGAGAGGGTCAGGCTGGCCCAGGTGGCAAAGGCCAGGGAGTGGAAAGACCTGGTGTGCCAAGAACCATGCCAGGAGCCTGGGGCGGGGAGGACCCCCACCCCCGGTAACCAAGGTGATGGGTGGCATCAGTCTGGAGCTGCTTGAGTGCAGGATTTGCCAGACAGGGACCAGTGGGGCCTCTCCCGGCACAGCCTGTGTGCCCCGGGGTGGGACAGGGCTGGGTCGGCACCTTCCATACCCCCTGAGCACCCCTCATGTCTGTCTCCATCCTGTCTCCTGCAGCAACTCTGAAATGCAAGCAGGATGAATTGCACCGGAAAGCACTGCAGACACTGGAGAGGTGAGGAGGGCTCGAATCTTGTCGAGGCACGAGGTGGCCCATGCATATACTTGATCTCAGTGGGCTCTGGTGTAGACAGAGCCAAGGTTTATGATCCCACGTTATTGATCAGGAAACCGAGGCTCTGAGAGCTCACACAGGAATTAGAGACAGGCCTTTGGGCTTGGGCGGGTGGCTCGAGCCTTTCAACACTGGTGGACTGTCCCCCCCTAACCCAGGCGGAGTGCCAGCCCTCCTGAGCTCAGGGCTCTATAATGGGAATAATGGCCCCTTATTGTTGCGATAATTTCCTGAAGTAAAGCAGGAAAAGCACCTTGCACAGTCCCTTCCCTATAGCAGGAGCTCAAAAATGGTGTTTGCCTCCTCCAACCCCTCCCCAGTTCGAGGGCTGTGAGGACCCCCCCCACCTCCAGTCCTCACAGAGACTTCCTGGCAGCCCAAGGTCTGAAGAGATGGGGTGGGAGGGTAAGAGGCGGAGGAAACCCTCCCCCAGCGGTGGCCCGCCCTTCCTCAGACCCATCCTTGCTGAGCCCCTCTCTTTACCACAGCCCTGGGTCCCCCTGAGCATCCTTTCCCACTCCTTCCTCTGGCCCTTCCTCAGAGCCCGTGTATGTCTTGTCCCCCACCCCTCAACCCCCTAGTACTGATGTGGAAGCTGCCAAGCAGGGACCTGCCCTGGACTCCTGCTGCCAGGTTCTTCGGAACATGTATCACATCCAACTGCCTTCTGGGGCAGGTTGTTCCCAAACCCAGGGAGGCCCAAGAGTCCCATCCTGGCCAACCTTCTCTGAGTGCCCAGGGTGGGGGCACATTCCTTCCGTCCCCTGCCACCTCTTCATTCCCAAGCCTTCTTGCCCATAGAGGCCATTCCCAGCCCCTCCACCCTCAGAGAGGTGTCCCCTTCTGTCCTATAGTGGAGAGGGCAGGCTCCAGGCTCTACAACGCCACAGCAGGGCCACAGCCAGCCCAACAGCTGTCCAGAGGAGAGGAGCTTCCCCCCACCCCCCAATGCTACCCCTCCCAGACGGCCCCCCACCGCAGCCAGAGCCAGCCCTCTAGGAGCCTGCTGTTCCTGCCTTCAGATGCCTGTGGCTTTCGGCCCGAGCCGTCATCTCCTGGCTGGGTACCTCCCCAAGAGGGGCCAGGAAGAATCCCGGACATTTTGCCCTGCAGCACCCAGCACACGTGGCATACTGGAGGCCCCTGTCACACAATGGTTGCTCAACCATTGGTGACTGACTTGGTGCTGCTTTTCCCCATACAGAGCCCAGCAGCTGGCGCCTGGCGACCCCCAGGTCATCCTCTATGTCTCCCTGCAGCTGGCCCTCGTCCGACAGGTGGGTCCTCACAGTTTCTAACCCTCAGGTCTCTGGGGGCTGCTGATCTTCTCCTGGCACCACTGCTTTTACTGGCTGTGTGACGCTTTGCAAGTGACTTGACCTCTCTGAGCCTCTATTTCCTTATCTAGATGAGCACCTTCATACAGGGACCTAGTAAGGATTAAGTCAGATAATGTGGTAAAGCCCCTGGCCCATGGTGGGCACATGGTGGGCAGATTATTCTCTGCCCTCCCTTCCCCTAGAATGTGGCAGACTCCCGAGAAGCTGACAAGTGACCCCAGTAAGCATGGTGTTCTCACCTACCACCAGGCTTTCCCTAAGTATCTAGGGGAGCACAGTGATTGGCCCATGGACTGTTTATTTCACCCCAAAACTTTTTCCTGACCCTGTGGACACCACTGCCAGGCTTCGCCTCTGGGGCCTGATGGGAGCCTCCTACCCACTGACCACCTTCGCCCCACTGGGACCACCACCACCACCCACGGCTCTCCAGGCCAACCCGCCTTCCTTCCCCAAGTGGAGCAGCTGAGCTGTTGGTGCCAGGAGGACACTGGTCTGTCCCAGGAGTGAGGCCGGATGGTCGTCCACCCAGTGGGTTCTTTTTCAGGACAGAGCCAGTGCTCCCACCCCCAGGCCCTTCAGAGTCTCTTCTTCACACGTGTGTTGGTCCTCAGCCTGGTGTTCTGTATCTATACCTGGCCTCTGATGCAGGGCCTCTTGATGGCTTTGGCCCCATAAGTGTGGACCCTGGATTGCCTGGGGACCGCAGACAAGCCTCGACTCCCGCAGCACAGCCCTCCTCACCTGCACTGGCGCGGACATGGCTGGGTTCCACACTGTTGGGGAGAAGCCAACAGAGTCCCCATCTGCTCGTGGTTAGGTGATGGGCAGCCCTGGCTACCATGGGTGCTGCTGTATTCCCAGCTCCCACTGGCCTGGGTGAGCCCTACATCTGATGGGGAGGGTGCCCTTGGTCCCATTTTAGACCTGCAGTCCTGAGCTTAGTCTTTGGGCACTGTCCCAGCCAGCACCGAACCCAGGTGTCTGACCCAGAGCCCACCCTGCTCCAGTTAAGAAACCCCAAGTGGCTCTGAGTATCCTGTTCCCCTGTTCCGTTTGGAGACAGGGCACATGGACCCTTGTCCAACAGCCAGGTGGTTGGTCTTACTGGTCTGTGTCAACTTCTGGCCTCTGGTCTCATCTCCAGTTTGTTCAGAGCTGTTTCTCCAGGCTGTCAGGTTGCTGTATGCCTCACCTAACGCTCAACCCTGCATCAGCTTGACTTTCCCCGTCACTACACTCTGACTGTCATTGCTGGGACCCTTCCCTCTCACCCTAAGCCCAAACCCTTGTCCCGGTGCTCGTGTGTGCCCTGGCCTGACTTGTCACTCATCATCACTGTATTTCTGAGTCACTCGGTCTCCTTCTCTGGGTTCTCTGTCTCAGCCATTTTCTCCCCAGCAGCCCTGCTGTCCTTTCTGCTCCTTCTCTCCCTTCTTGTACCCACCCCTTCCCCTAGCTTACTTCACCCCTCCTCCGCCTCTAGACTGTAGCTGACTGCCCCAGCCCCTCCCCCCACTATGCTCGTGGCTCCTGACATCCAGGTCCTGACTGAGGCACTTGGTACCTCTGTGCTGCTCTCTCCAGGAACATCAGTCTGGGGAGGCCAGTTAGCTCAGTTGGTTAGAGTGCAGGCTCATAACACCAAGGTTGCCAGTTTGATCCCCACATGGGCCACTGAAATGCGCCCTCCACAACTAGATTGGAACAACTACTTGACTTGGAGCTGATGGGTCCTGGAAAAACACAGTGTTCCTCAATAATAATAATAATATTATAATAATAATAATAAATCAGTCTGCTCTGGTGTTCCCAGGAACATGGTTAGAAAGATACCTGAGACCACTTTACTTTTTAGCCCTCTGTAAAAGAACCAGTACTTTTCTTGCCAGTCAAGTTCATGGTAAAGCTTTGGTGATACATTTTTCAATATCTTTAGTTATTCAGCTACCTCTGGTGAATGGTATATTTTGTCCCGAAGAGATGGCTAAGCCAGGTCGGTGGAGCCTGGCCTCCAGTTTCCTTGAGGACCCCAGATCTTGGTCGCATCCGGGGGTCAAGGGCCCCTGAATGGACTCTAAGCTGGACCTGGCCTGCCTGGATCGCAGGCCACTGGCCCATCCTGCCCAGAGCATGTATGGCTGCTCGAGCGATGACAGCTGTGGGTTTGGATACCCAGCCCAGGATAATAGGGTCCATTCTGCAGAATCACTGGGGCAGGAGTAGCCTCGGGGAGGCATAGGTAAGCCAAGTTGGCATCCACACTGACCTTAGCTTCCTCCTTCCCTTTCCTTGACCTTTCCACAAAGGTAGGTCCCCACGGGAGGATTCTGGGCCTGGCACTGCCCACAGCCTGTGCAGAGGCTGGGTGGAGACCAGGCAGGGGCCAGGCACATGGGAACCCAAGGCCCCAGCTGGCCTGCACCATAGGCCCTCAAGGAGCAAGCGGGGGCTACTGTCTGAGGTTTGAAAAGGAGCAAGACTTTCTAAAAAGACTCACGAGGCTGCAGGGAGGATGTGGATAGATCCCAGGAGCTGTTGCCACTGCCAGGCCTGAGAACAAACATCCCTCAGGACTAGAAGGAAGAATCTTACCTGGCCATTCGGGACCTGGCTTTGGGGGCTTGAAGAGGGAAACTCACAGTTTCCAATGTGTGCAGTACTCCGCACACTTGTCCTATGTTGTCTCGTGCTCTCAGCCACTGTAATGGGTATGACTATTACCCTCATTTTGCAGCATAAGAACTGCAGCTCAGAGAGATGAAGTCCCTTCCTAAGGCACCAGCTAGGACATGGTTGAGCTGGGATCCATGCCCCCATTTGACCCCAGAGCCCAAGCTCTTGCCACTGAGCCGCTGAGTAGGAGGGGCATTTGTCTGTTGGCCCCTGTCACTGCATGGACAGGTTCAGAGAAGAGGGCCTGGCCACCTTTAGGTCTGTAGCTAGTGGTCTGGTGGCCTCCTCTTGTAGCCCCCACCCCTCTGGTTTAGGAAATGCATCCACCTAGATCCTTTGTGCTGCACCGTACATCTGTTCCTCTTTACTCCCAAGTGAGGGCAGCAGTGGCTTCCTGGGCCTGACTTGGGGCAGCAGATCCCTCTTGCCATGTGATTTGGGGGCATTATCAGATCACCAGCCCTGCTCCCCAGTGCCCAGGGTCTCGCCTGAGTCTGGCGCTTGGCACCAAAGTCCCAGGGGCAGGTGTGGGCCTTGGGGTAGGTCACTAAGTGCGCAGTTTTCTCTGGCAGATCTCCAGCGCCATGGAGCAGCTGCAGGAGGCCCTGAAAGTGTGCAGGGATGATGCCAATGCCCTCCACCTGCTGGCACTCCTCTTCTCCGCCCAGAAACACTACCAGCACGCACTGGACGTCATCAACATGGCCATCACGGAGTACCCGGAGTACTTCAGGTGAGTTCCCCGTGGGCACTGCTGGGCTGGGGGGGCTGGCCGGCCACAGACACAGGTGTCCATGCACAACCGGCCAGCCAACACACGCTGATTAAGCACCCACTGCCTGCGCACTCCCTGGCTGGAGAGTCGAGGCAAGGCAAGGACCTCTAGGGCCGGAGAATGGCCCTAGTGTTCTGTGCCCAGAGGTTCGAGGTGGGAGGGTGAGCTCTGTGCAGTACCTGTGGGCCCCACTGGGGCTTCGTGGGCCCCAGAGGGGCAGTGCTTGAACACACGAGCTCAGGTTGCATCCCCCCCCCGCCCCCCCGCCGTGGGCTCTGCATGAGTGTCGTGGGTACGCTAACTTGTGTAACTTCATCATAACCCTGGCACAAGCAGTCAAGTATGGGATTCTTAACACTGGCTGAGCTGGTGGAGGCCAAGGGAACCATCCTCCTGCCTCAAAGCAGGCCAGCAGGCATTAGGGGGACGGCGTTGTCTCCCTCTAGGGTAGACCTGGCCTCTCCCTCCATTCTCTGCACACTCCCACTTACCACATCACCCAGTTGGCCCTCTCTGGGGAGCAGGGTTCATGCTGCTCTTGGCATAGGTGGTGGTGGTGGGTGGGGCAGGACCAGGCTCTCCTGCCTGCCCCTACCTTGCACAGAGGACCTGCTGCCACCCAACCAGGTCTCTGGGGACAGGAGCCATGCTGGGCTAGCTGAGGCAGGAGGGTACGTTGTTCTGCAGGAGGGAATGCGGGGGAGGCCGGCTTGATTTCTGCGCCTCTTCCCTCGTCAGGGGACACTGGGTATAGTGGCCCTTGTTTCTCTGAATCCTGTAATCCCAGCATGGGGGGGCCTCTTGGCACCCCACTCCTACCATGTCCTGCCTTAGGGTCTGATGGAGGGCCATTTAGAACCAGCCAGAGGCTATCTTCCTGCAGACAGCAGATAAAAGCATGGTCCCGGCTATGCTGAAGTGATTCACACCGGCAGTGAAAACAGGCTCACAAAGAATTAGGGGAAACGGATGGGTGTCTCAGCCATGAGAGGTGATGTTGCAGTTGTCCCATCCCAGGGGTGTTCCCTTGATGCAAGGGGCCTGTCCATTCCTAGCCCATCAGGGGCAGAGCTGCCCCTGGAGGCAAGGCTCAGGTTTTCCTGTGCCTTTTGTCCTCCGTCGGAGGAGCCAAGAGTGGCTTGGCTTGTGGACGTCGCTGGGAATGGCTTCCTGCTCACCAAGGCTCAAGAAAGGTGCTTTGGAAGCAGCAGAGTGTCCTGACCATAAGCCCCCCAGTGTGCCCCACTGAAGAGGGAGTCCAGTTGGAAGAGGCCACGGGTGGGTGTTCATCCTGCAGGTCAGCCTGCTTACCTGAGACCAGACTGACCCTCTGCCAGCAGCACCCTGGGTCATGACCCCGCCTATCCAACCGACATCCTGGCCCAGGTGTGTCCCAGCTGCCCATAACCAGGTGTAAGCAAAGACAATGCGTGGCCAACTCAACATAAGCCCATTATTTGTGTTAAGAAGACGTCCTTTATTCTGGACTTCCGACCCTGCATTTGAGAGATTATTAAAATTGATATCAGTTCACTTTAAAAGGCGGGTAGCTTAGGGAATGCTAAAACAGATAAAAAGGTACATGTGGACAAGGGATTAGTTACCTTGTCTCATTAATCCCAAGTACAATACGGCAAGACTTACTGTGTAGACATTTATTTTTCACTTTTATTGAACGTGCACAAAGGACAAAGGTCCTCCTTTTTCAGTACCAGCTACCTTGCTTTTCTCCAGGCTCACCTGTATGGCAGGGTCTGACCCACTGTCTGCTGCTGGCCATGCGCGTGAGTGTGTGCATGGGCACATATACAGACAACTGTGTGTGGTGGATTGTCAGGCTTCGGTGGAAAGAAAGGCTTAGAATTCTGGAGTGGGGAGGAGGCTCCCCACCTGGCACCTGGATGAGAGTGTGTGTCACAGAAGGCACAAGAGGCCAGGCCAGGCATCAGACGTTGTTTTATCAGCATGTCCTTTTTCCAAGTGAAATCTTCCATGTAAATTGAGACTATGAACAGATAGGAGCAGAGCTTTCCTGATGGAAATACGGGAAGGGGATTCACAAAGGCTGCGCACTCGGCCCCTGGTCCCAGCTCTGGCATCCTACTGCATAGCGTCTTCTTCCTAACTTCTGGAATGCCTGCTGTCTGCTGGCAGAATCACCTCCTCTGGCCTGATGTGGGGAGGCTAATACCGCTCTTGGAAAATCTGTGTGAAGCCCATGCTGTGCAAGGCACTGCGGGAGTGATGCAGGGACTGAGGCAGGGACGTGGGGGGCTCCTTGGCTCTCTCTCACCACCTCCAGCCTATCCAAGGAAGCTGCCCCCTGTGGCTCCTTAGTCTTCCCTCCTTTTATTGGCAGTGTGTGCCCCTCCCCCAGTGCACTCTTCACCCCTCCCCCTTCCCTCCCATCTCATTCAGGTGCCCCACTCCTTCCCTAGGAAATGCTTCCTTCACTGAAAGCATCTTCATGGGGGGCAGAGGAGGTGGCCCTTGCTGGGAGGTTGGTGACTCCCCCTGGAGGCCCACGGGTGGACTCGTGGGCCTCTAAAACGCCTGAACTGGAACTCTTAAGATTTGCACTGTATGCATGCATCTGGGGTAATGGCTTTCAGCAGACCCTCAGCAGGATCCTAAACCCAAAAAAGGTGCAGACTGTGCTGTTGGTCCATTTGTAGGATAATCGTGTCCCTCTTTGTCAGCTGTGTCTGCACTTCTGCAGGCAGGAGCCTTCTAAAGGGGCAGCCCCCGCCATGGGAGCAGAGCTCCCCCATCCAGACATGCACCGCAGAGCCACTGAGGAGCCCCAGGGGCTGGTGCTGTGGGGCCAGCAGCGGGAAGACCACTCCGAGGTCCGAGCCCAAGGAAGGAAAACGTTTGTGTCTCATCCCCAGAGGCCTCCTCAGGGCTCTTCCGTTCCTGTCACTACAGAGAGGCCTGCTGTGAAGCATTTGGTGACTAGAGCATCCCATCCCCTGTGGGGCCTCACTCTGCGAAGTCTGCCCTTTGGGGTCAGGGGTATAGAGAAGCAGTGCAGGTTCTTTATCTGTGTCACCATGAGCCCCTCACGTCCATGACCATGAGGAACTCATGGTCTTGATCTGAGCTAGCCCTTAAGGCTGCATAACTAACTGGAAACAATAAAGGGGCCTTCTGACCTCAAGAACTGTGAGAGAATACATTTCTGTTGTCTTAGGCAAAAAAAAAAGAAAGAAAGAAAGAAATTCCACCTTAAAGTGTGTGTGTGTGGGGGGGGGGGGGGGGGGGGAGTGGGGGTAGAAAATCTACCTACCACATAGCTCTGGAGTGACCGTAGCGTATGACCATGTCTCTTTGCAAATAAATCAATAGTATTTCCCACAGGTGAAACCTCGGAGTACAGAAGCCCATGGGTTATTAGCAGGATATGTCATTGAGTCCCTTGCTGGTCAGGGATCACTGAAAATGTCATTACTCTTCAATGGAAACGGCATCCTGCTTCTCCAGCTGCTCCTTGCATTGCGAACAAGCTGTGTGGCTCCAGCAGTTGCCATGGCAGTTAATTAAATGACCAGTTCAGTAGCTATCACTGCCACAAAACACAAAAACCCAAACCCCCTTCGCCCTGACCTCGGCATCCCCAACAAGGTCTACATATTCGCGGGGCACTTCCAGGGCCGTAGTCTGGATCTGTCTCCAAGGAGGACCTCCCCATCGCCTGAGGCCCTTTAGAGACTCTGCCTTTTTGCAGAGTCTGCCTTAGTGAAGGAAGAGGTGGCGAGACCAGTGTCCGGGCGGAGGAGACCTGGCGCAGGGGAGGGTGTCGGTGCATGCCGTAGACCCCCTTCCACAGGAGCTTATCCCCATGAGAGCCGTGCCTGTCCCTTACCTGTGTCCCCTCCACCAGCGTTCTCCTCCTTTCCATTTTCTCATCTGCCACAAGACTGACATCTGTCCTGCATCTCTCTGCTTCCAAGGTCTATTGGAGGCTCAGGCAAGAGAAGGTCTCGCAGTCTGTTTACAACCGTGTTGAGGGGCAGCAGTGTGAAGGGGTCTGGAAGACAGACCACAAACTCTGTAAACTGCAACACAGGACCTGGAGGGCAGTGCATGTGGGCCGGGAGGTGGAGGAGGGTGCGCTGTGTGTGGGGGGGGGGCGAGGAGACAGAAGCAGGAACCCTCTGTGAACGTTTTTT